TTCAAGTGCAAAAAAAAGGGGGGGGGGGGTGAATTTGTGTCACACCGGTTCTGTTCTCAAATGAGTTATGATTAATTTAGTCCCTTTAAATAGCATTATCAGCCAAAACATATCAATCTTTATGGAATAAAATCAGCTAATAAATGAACATTTGAACTCTAAATCTTAAAAATAATAAATTACAAATGGAGATGTCAATTTTGACCTCGTTTAGTTTTAACAGAACCAGAATCTTTGGATTTACAGCCTGCTTTAGTTAACACTAAACACACAATTAGTGGAATCACTCAGACCCCAGCAGCCCATCTGTGCAGCAGCTCTTATTGTTCCTATGACAGCCAATGGAGATGCTTCATGCCGTCTGGTATTGTCCACAGACAAAACTGGACAGTTAAAAGCAGAAAGAGTAATTCACATATTATGTACCCATCCTCATATTGTTCCAAACCAGTGTGCTGTTCATCTTTTGGAGGGGATACTAAAAAAGAATTAACAAAGTAGTCTATATGACTTGTGCTCTATATTCCAAGTCTTCCCTACTTGGATTGAATTTAATTCAGGATCCAATGGCTTGTCTCATTCGTTTACAACACATCAATGACGTCAATGCTGGCAAAGCACATAAAAATGCACCAATTTTGAATGTGAACATGAAGGTAAATAAGATTTAAGCTAAGGTCTTTAGTGAATGACAGCATAAATAATGACAAATTATTTTAATTTCAGAATTAACTATTGCTTTAATACCGTTATAAGCCTGCAGATGGACATTAGCTATGCCCTACAGTTACTCAGTAAGACATTGGTGATGCATGATGCCTCAACCAAGAGGAACTGTACAATAAACTCTATATGGAAACACGCTGCAATTAATTTACTAATAATTCATTTTTAGGGCGGCAACAACTAATTAATAAAAACGATAACTGATCATTTTTTGTTAATTATCTTTTATTAATCAAGTCTGCACTATGCAAAGAAAACATCTGCCAGTCAAGTCACAGCAGTGAATAAAACAATTCGACAAACCGCATCTGGGAAAAAAAACGAAGAACATAAACTAACCTGTTGCGGGAAAAGTGCACAACCTAAGTTGTCCTAAATGTCAGAATAAGCCATATTAAGTGCTTCAACAAAAGCATATAGAGCAGCTTGCCCTATCAGGCCATGTGTGTGCTGTTTAATGGGCAATGTGCACAAACTTACATTTTTCTAAACTATTTCTTGTTAGGCATTAAACATAACATTCAAATTCTCAATTTAACAAACGTAATTGTATTTATTTTTTGAGACCAGTGACAGCAAAGGGTCTACTGTAATGGAGTATAAATGTAAATATGTTCACATGTGTTAATGTGCATTCCCCTCCTACCTTGCACCAGTTAAAGTCTGTGCTTTTTTAACCTTTTTTGCACATAATGTTTGCACAGCCTACATAGCTACATTCACTATTTGTTTTCATTGCCCTTAAACGTAATATTGTTTTGAGAACAACATTTGACAGTAGACTTGTGCCGGTATTCGGTAATGCGATATATTATGGTAATTAATATGCACGATATTGTTATCGTGGGCACTTCTAAATACCGTGAATAATTATATATATAACAAATTATTCAGAATTTTGAATGCATTTTAAGAATACTTTTCCCATAAACTGGTCAAAATGCACAACACCGCTGTATGTTGCCTGAAAGACGTGTGCGCACTCTGATGTAAATAAACGCGGACGAGTAGCACATGGCGGAACATGTGAGAGACGCTCTGGATGAAAGCGCACTTTCACTCTCTGACAGCAGATGGCGCTAAACTGCAGAAATAATAATAATAGCATTAGCAATTAATCGCAACATGAAAATTTGATACCGGCATATCCCTATACAGGATGTGAAATTTTGGAAGCATTAGATTAAAATGTATTATTAAAATGGTTGTTTTGGGATTATTGTTTTTTCATCCAATGAATCAAAGAAACCATGGAAAGATTATAAACGACAGATTTTGTCCTATATCACACCTTGTGTAAAGAAGACCCAGAACAGACACTACTACCAACAGAAGCTCATCCCAGAATGGTGGATCACCGCCAGCTGCCCCCAAACTCGCGCAGACTGCTTTTATGGAGCTGAAATATGACGTTGCTATTCTGCTCGCGCTTTGCGCCGCACGCGTTACGAATTTAAAACTTCCTGAATAATCGTAGAGCTCGCGCGCGTGGCGAAGAACTTTAAATTGACACGTGCTCGCCAATGAACTATCAGAAAACACTCCAGCCCAGTCCAAATGACAACGCGGAGGAAAGCACTCGCCCTCTGCATGTTCTCTAAATTGCTCGTCTCAGTGGTTTCAGAGAACCCAGTTTGGCTCCGTGCTTGAAAAATGATAAACCCTCATTAAAAACCTGTTCTCAGAATGTGATGTTTTCCCCTGAAACGGGTTCGCCTTCATAAATCGGACACACTGTCTTAAGCACTGCTGCAGATTATTAACTCGCCGTTATTTATCTAGCACAGTCGTGAGAAGTAACATTTTCTCCTTCGATTGCATTTAACGGGCCTCTCCGGCAACACCGCATCCGCGGTTCGGCATGATGTGCAGCCCCGGCTGCCTCCCAAAACACCCCGGTGCAAGTTTCTCCAGCTCCGGCGGCTTCTGAGCGGAGCTCACCTTCTGAATTAGTATCTAATGCAACACGTCTGCTCCATGCATTTCATAAAACATGTTTTAAAAAAAATGATTTTAAGACACAACTAACCGTTTAACTGAACAAAACAAATGTGTCCGCAGGGTTTTATTAGCTCACCTGCTAACTACTGCATTCACAGGGTGCGCAATTGCACTCATTTTGCGCTACAATTAATAAAATACATTTATCGTGTAAATGGCCACGCAACAACGAGAAACAAACAATTCGGTTTCTTTCTTTTTTCCACAACTCAGTCACTAATTAGCATTTTGGCTAAGAGCGCTAATAAAGATGATACATTTAACATGCTAATGCTAACGAATTTGGCGCACCCTATTTAACGCACATTCATAACACTTGTTAGCGAACGGAAAAATGGTTGTTTCCCCGTGTCAAATAAACGCAAGCAGCAGAGCAAGTGAGTAAATGACTTTTGAAGATAAAAGGGCCTACATGTGGAAGCTAACAGGCTAGCGTGTAACAGTGCAGAGGAGCGGGGGCAGCGTGAACATACACTATTGATCAGCCGCAACAACTTTGCCGCTCGAACCCTTAGAGCCGGAGCGGTTCCTGAACCAGAGTCTGCTTTAACTTCGAGATAAAGTCGGGGAATTGGACTTGAGTGACGGATAATTCAATGTAAAAGGGTTTATGAAGCTACAGAATTACACTTACCTCACTTCCGCAAATCGTTTGCTGCACATTCGGCAGCCGCCATGTTTTTTTTCTCCCTCGGTGCTGCTGTGAATGTGAATCCCACAATCCCGCTCACTGCGATACTGTACAGGACAGCAGCCGCGGCCCACACGCTCGCTGCTTTCATAATGACCGGCTCTCAAGAGCTCTGCTGTCAGCGCTGATCCGACCGACCGTTTCAGCCTGATGATGAGCAGCATATTGTACTGAAGAATGCAATATTGTGTCCTATTGATCTGTCTACGCGAATGGAAATAACGGCTAGATTGCACCAATCAGTCATTCTTGAGAAGTGGGACAAAACGGTGCAAAATTGAAAAAATAAAACCTTGTACTCAGACAAATGAATCTACATTTTTATATCTTACATGTACTAAGCTACTGAGCTATGCTTTGATACAACCTCCCAACTTTTCTCTTTTTTAACAAAATGTGCTTTTTTACCTTGGACTGTGTAATGTAATTTCAACTTTATCTTTAACAGTATTCAAGATGTTTTTAACATTTCAAAACACATTCTGGTGTTAGCAGACAGATTACACTTTCACATGTGACCAACAATTACACAACAAAAATAAATGAGAAAATTAAATTGAAGGTGATAATTGTGTTAAATACATTCTATTATTAATCCCTCATGACATTTAAAATGAAAAATATTTGTATTTTTTAAAGCTAATAGCAGTTACCCTTGCTGGACCTGTTTTGTCCCCCGTCTCAAGAATGACTATTTAGGGCTCAGTAAACTACTTTAATTGTATGTCAAGTTGAGGTCGATGAATTAAACTCACAGTTAAAAGAATGCCTTGAAATATAGTAACAGTGATGACACTGTCTTACAGGTCAAGCATTTTCTACAAGGGGTTTTTAAAACTGAGACCCCAGGGAGTGCTAAGGGGTCAATGGGAATGTTAGAGAAAAATAAAAATAAATAAGATTGAAAATCATTTAATAAGTTATTTAAAAAATATATATATATATATATATATATATTCAAGTAAAATAATATTAACAGTACAGTACTATAATGAATAGAAAATAAATGTAATTTGATTAAAACTAAATATTTTACAAACAATATTTTGGCATGTTTATAATATCAATTTCTACAGTATAAATATACAAAAGAATATATATATATAGATGGAATTTACATTTTAGGATGGAGGTCTCTTGCACAGGGATCATTAATTTTGTGAGTTTGTGGCATGTAAAGAATTGAAAAAACCCTCTTCTACAACTGAATCTTGCAAAAACATATCCTGGTCATATTTCACCCCAAAACCAAACATAGAAAATTATAAAGTATGTTACATAAATAAATAAAAATTTGTTTATATTTGGTAGTCATTTGTATTTTAATACCTTCATGCTAACTTAAAAATCACTTGCTAACTTAAAAATGCATTACTGTAATGAGCACTTGGGTGGAAATGTGCTTATTTGTCCTGAAAATAACATCAAAATGTCCAAAAAATGTCCTGTATTATTTTCTTATTTGATTTTGTGTTTTTGTGAAATATATCCATTTACAAAGCAATTTAACAAATATCAATTTCTTAAGTTTCAGATCATAAGAATGATGACAGATATCGACAGCACAAGTTTAGGATTTAATAGTAGCCACTCAGATACAGCTTTCATCTCGGCGGACAATTAATATTGACAAATGACTTCACATCCTTCTATACATTAAATAATGCCTTGAATGTACACATGAGGCAGCAGGATTTAATTGATCGGATTTCCTTTTACATAGCATTTTTAAACAAGACAGCCATTGGATGTGTTCAAATTGTTTGCATCTCCATGCAACCCAGCGGCACAGCTATGCAGCACAAATAGAAATGAGGAATCGATTTTCTTGCCAGCGTAATGTGCCACATCATTCCTATTAGCGTGCATTCTGCTTAGATTTAGCTTGTCGAATCATTTTCGAGCAAAGAAAACGTTCATGAATGCCAGAATGATCATACCCCTCTGGAATAAATAACATTTAGTGCAGAAACGTGTTCTTTAAGTACTAGTACATTCAAATACATATCGAGCATCAGAGCTGAAGCATGCACGCTTTTGAATCTACAGTACAGTGCAAAAAAAAACAAAAAAAAACAGTTCTTTCCTGAGACTACGTAGCATTTAGTATCCCTTCATACCCAAAACATGAAGATTTCATCCACTAAGACAACATGTTCTTTCATTTTCTTAATTGAGGCAGTACCTCAAAAATATCTAGATGCAGTGGAATTCATTTTCGGTGTACACAAATCATGTTCTATTTGGCTTGGGCGAAGCAAAATCTGTCATGAACGCAGCTGCACATAGAAATCAAATGCATTAATGGACTGTGAAAATGTGCCTTAAGTCTACTTGGTTTCTAGTGTCAAGAGGAAGTGGATATGTATGTTATATACAAAGAAAGCACACTGGAGGATGTTTAATCCATCCATCTGCTATAAAGAACAGTCATAAAGGGTATAGAGAGTGTGGCAGAGATGTGTATGCTGAGGTGAAGCTGTAGGTCCTTTACTTGAACGCTTGGAAACAAAAGTGAAGTGCAAAATAATAAGTGTTTCTAGGTCCCCTTGTGGTCTAGCAGCATCTCAGCAAAACTACACTGAACGCGTCTCCACTTCGATCTTCTCCTCTGCTTGAGAAGTTTCAGCCTCCTGATGGCTGACACTGGGCCGCACGGTCACCACTGGCCCTCCTCCGTAGATGGAATGGAGGAAGTTCCAGGTCTCTTCAGATATCTGACCTGAATCAGCGCCTGTTAAAGCAGAGAAGAAGCAAAACGCATGTTTTTTGAGCAAATGTGTTAATGATGTACCTGAAACAAGTACACTACTGAATGTAGGGCTGCACGATTAATCATATTTTAATCATGATTTCTGCTTCTCTTGACTAATTAAGCATAAAAACTGCAATATTGGCAAGCTGCTTTTTTGTTATTGATCTTGTCTCTACAAGCATTTAAATATTAAGAGCTTAAAACCCCAATCAGAACTTGGATTTGGAAGAATGTTGGTAACCAAACAGCTGACGGTACCCATTGACTTCCATAGTATGGGAGAAATACTATAGAAGTCAATGGCTACCGTCAACTGTTTGGTTACCAACATTCTTCAAAATATCTTCTTCTGAGTTCAACAGACAAAGAAAGTCGTACAAGTTTAGAACAACTTGATGATGAGTAAATGATGACAATTTTCATTTTTAGGTGAACTATCCCTTTAACAGGATTTGGAATTATTTTAATAATACGAATTTTACAGTTTTAGCTTTTGAGAGAAGCTTCTCAAGGTTTTGTAGAGAGTGTGTTAAAGCAACTGTTATGTAAGTTTTTTATTATTATTTTTTTCCTTGAAATATTCATTTCAAAATCATTCTGATAGTAAACTAACATCTAATAAGACAAATGGCTTTTGGTTCTTTCACACAATATGCACAATATACAAAACTACATACAGTTGCTTCAATGTTCATGATGGATATAATAAATCAGGAAACTAGATTGTGGTAAAATAAACCCTGCGTATGAGTTAACATGCCCTTGTTGATTTGTGCTTATGTGAAAGCAAAATAATCGTGATCAGTTCAATTGTGCACCTATAATTGAAATATAAAAGTCTTTCCTAAAAAGACAGTTCAATCAAAAATGACTTAACTTCATGTTATTTAACTTTAAAAATATTTTGAGGAACTTTAGCTTGGTAATACACCGTATTGAGGACGTAAAATGGGTTATGATTTCTGTTTTATGGTAACTTTAAAAGACATGGCAAATGTAAAAAAAAATAAATAAATACCTGGCTTTAATGTGATGTGTCCATTTTTATTTACAGCAATCTTGGAGTTATCAATTGGTCCTGGTGGGTCTGAAAAACACAAGACCATCCATCAACAAAAACACACCAAATACCCCAAACAAAGGTGAAAAGCAAACAAAATCTATAATGAAATTCTTCAAGAACTCCTTAGTCATCAATAACCGCAGGACATAATGCTAATATTCGATTTCAAACTTTCAGATACTTTAGAAGTATCAGCAAGCAGGGATGAGAAATGACTTACCAATGTCCTTGCCTTTGACAAAGCCTTCCCATTCCCGGAACCATTGCATGCTGATACAGTATATCACCACAGGAGACTCCTCCTCCTGAAACGCCTTGTTGAGCTACATGAAGGACAGAAAAGATGGGGAAAGAGAAAAAACACATGAAGAGAAAGAGAATCACATCCTTCTATACATTAAATAATGCCTTGAATGTACACATGTGAGGCAGCAGGATTTAATTGATCGGATTTTTTTCTTTCACATAGCATTTTTAAACAAGACAGCCAACGATGTGTTCAAATGTGCACCTTATTGTTTGCATCTCCATGCAACTCAGTGGCACAGCTATGCAACACAAATAAAAATGAGGAATTGATTTTCTTGCCAGCATAATGTGCCACATCATTCTTATTAGCGGTGCATTCTGCTTCGATTTAGCTCGTCGAATCATTTTCGAACAAAGGAAACGTCCATGAATGCCAGAATAATCATACCCCTCTGGAATAAATAACATTAGTGCATGTGTTCTTTAAGTACTAGTACATTCAAATACATATCGAGCATCAGAGCTGAAGCATGCACGCTTTTGAATCTACAGTACAGTGCAAAAAAAAACAAAAAAAAACAGTTCTTTCCTGAGACTACGTAGCATTTAGTATCCCTTCATACCCAAAACATGAAGATTTCATCCACTAAGACAACATGTTCTTTCATTTTCTTAATTGAGGCAGTACCTCAAAAATATCTAGATGCAGTGGAATTCATTTTCGGTGTACACAAATCATGTTCTATTTGGCTTGGGCGAAGCAAAATCTGTCATGAACGCAGCTGCACATAGAAATCAAATGCATTAATGGACTGTGAAAATGTGCCTTAAGTCTACTTGGTTTCTAGTGTCAAGAGGAAGTGGATATGTATGTTATATACAAAGAAAGCACACTGGAGGATGTTTAATCCATCCATCTGCTATAAAGAACAGTCATAAAGGGTATAGAGAGTGTGGCAGAGATGTGTATGCTGAGGTGAAGCTGTAGGTCCTTTACTTGAACGCTTGGAAACAAAAGTGAAGTGCAAAATAATAAGTGTTTCTAGGTCCCCTTGTGGTCTAGCAGCATCTCAGCAAAACTACACTGAACGCGTCTCCACTTCGATCTTCTCCTCTGCTTGAGAAGTTTCAGCCTCCTGATGGCTGACACTGGGCCGCACGGTCACCACTGGCCCTCCTCCGTAGATGGAATGGAGGAAGTTCCAGGTCTCTTCAGATATCTGACCTGAATCAGCGCCTGTTAAAGCAGAGAAGAAGCAAAACGCATGTTTTTTGAGCAAATGTGTTAATGATGTACCTGAAACAAGTACACTACTGAATGTAGGGCTGCACGATTAATCATATTTTAATCATGATTTCTGCTTCTCTTGACTAATTAAGCATAAAAACTGCAATATTGGCAAGCTGCTTTTTTGTTATTGATCTTGTCTCTACAAGCATTTAAATATTAAGAGCTTAAAACCCCAATCAGAACTTGGATTTGGAAGAATGTTGGTAACCAAACAGCTGACGGTACCCATTGACTTCCATAGTATGGGAGAAATACTATAGAAGTCAATGGCTACCGTCAACTGTTTGGTTACCAACATTCTTCAAAATATCTTCTTCTGAGTTCAACAGACAAAGAAAGTCGTACAAGTTTAGAACAACTTGATGATGAGTAAATGATGACAATTTTCATTTTTAGGTGAACTATCCCTTTAACAGGATTTGGAATTATTTTAATAATACGAATTTTACAGTTTTAGCTTTTGAGAGAAGCTTCTCAAGGTTTTGTAGAGAGTGTGTTAAAGCAACTGTTATGTAAGTTTTTTATTATTATTTTTTTCCTTGAAATATTCATTTCAAAATCATTCTGATAGTAAACTAACATCTAATAAGACAAATGGCTTTTGGTTCTTTCACACAATATGCACAATATACAAAACTACATACAGTTGCTTCAATGTTCATGATGGATATAATAAATCAGGAAACTAGATTGTGGTAAAATAAACCCTGCGTATGAGTTAACATGCCCTTGTTGATTTGTGCTTATGTGAAAGCAAAATAATCGTGATCAGTTCAATTGTGCACCTATAATTGAAATATAAAAGTCTTTCCTAAAAAGACAGTTCAATCAAAAATGACTTAACTTCATGTTATTTAACTTTAAAAATATTTTGAGGAACTTTAGCTTGGTAATACACCGTATTGAGGACGTAAAATGGGTTATGATTTCTGTTTTATGGTAACTTTAAAAGACATGGCAAATGTAAAAAAAAATAAATAAATACCTGGCTTTAATGTGATGTGTCCATTTTTATTTACAGCAATCTTGGAGTTATCAATTGGTCCTGGTGGGTCTGAAAAACACAAGACCATCCATCAACAAAAACACACCAAATACCCCAAACAAAGGTGAAAAGCAAACAAAATCTATAATGAAATTCTTCAAGAACTCCTTAGTCATCAATAACCGCAGGACATAATGCTAATATTCGATTTCAAACTTTCAGATACTTTAGAAGTATCAGCAAGCAGGGATGAGAAATGACTTACCAATGTCCTTGCCTTTGACAAAGCCTTCCCATTCCCGGAACCATTGCATGCTGATACAGTATATCACCACAGGAGACTCCTCCTCCTGAAACGCCTTGTTGAGCTACATGAAGGACAGAAGAGATGGGGAAAGAGAAAAAACACATGAAGAGAAAGAGAAAGATACCATTACCTGAGTGTTCCTTCGTAAAATATCATCCTACCTCACTGCAGCCAAACAAACAATTACACGAAAAACTGAGACAGAAACTCTGTTCCAAATCTTAGTGAGCTACATTGCTGTCTACGGCTTACAATAGCGACTGCTTCCTATAGGGCCATTCACACAGAACGTGTTTTTGCATTCTACTGCACTGCTTTTCTATTATTTTTCTATGTGAACATGCACTAGTCAGAGACCTTTGATCGTTGCACTCGCAACTTGAGTTTTTTTATACAGTCTAACACTTCATGTAAAGTTAGTCATTGTTAGTCATTGTAGTCATGTTAGTCATTTTATAGTACAAGTAGTGCGAGTGGTGGGTTCACCAGGAATGCATCTATATTTAGACGTTATTAATCATAACAAGAAAATAATTATCGGCTTCAGGGCTGTAACAACAAATTGATAATAATCTATAATGGAAATAGTGGACAACAAATTTGATTGATTAATCGTGTTTGTGCACTGTGAAGTGAAATCATTCACCAATCACAGCTCTTTACAGTAGGGAACAATGCATTTCTCTGAAGAAAACGCATATGAAAAATAGCAGAGGTCACTGTGACTTCTGATCTCATTCTGAGAGGGTGTTTGTGGTGGTGGTGATGGAGGGGGTGGGTGTGTGTCTGTGCACACATTAAGAGGCCAGATAACAGTCTAGGCATTAGACCAACCCAAAACAATGAGACGCTTTTCACTCTACATGTCCCTTTAAAGGGATAGTTCACCCAGAAATGAAAATTAGCCCATTATTTACTCACCCTCAAGCCATCCTAGGCGTATATGACTTCCTTCTTTCAGATGAATCCAATCGGAGTTATATTAAAAATTGACTTTGATCTTCCAAGCTGTTTAATGGCAGTCAGCGGGTGTTACAGTGCTTCAGTCCAAAAGAAGTGGAATAAAGCGCATCCATCCATAATAAAAAGTGCCTCACATGGCTCCAGGGGGTGAACAAAGGCTTCCTGTAGCAAATCGATGTGTTTTTGTAAGAAAAATATCCATATTCAAAACGTAATAATCACTTTAATCTAACTGAACTGCAACAGCCGCTGACTGCCATTAAACAGCTTGGAAGATCAAATTAAATTTTTTATATAACTCCGACTGGATTCGTCTGAAAGAAGAAAAGTCATATACACCTAGGACGCCTTGAGGGCGAGTAATTCATGGGCTAATTTTCATTTTTGGGTGAACTAACCCTTTAATCTACGATGCCATTGCGACTCCTACCCGAACAAACATGTCCAGCTCATTCTTGTGGCGTTTCTCCAGCTTCTCGATCTCGTTCTGGCAGGTGTGGCAGACATACAAGTGATTGACAGCAGGGCCGCCTCCGTACCTATTCAACAACGAGCCAACAATTAGCATTTAATAAGAAGCTCAACTTCCAAAGGAAGTTATAAAAAGAGCAGTGACAACTCTTACCTGCTATACAGATGATCCCATACATTTTGGGGAAGCATCATAACCAGATCGTCAATAAATGAGGCTTTATTTGGAGGAACACCTGTTGTAGAAAGAAAAACAAGAGGTCATAATTTTAACCACCAAATAATTTGTTTATCTACTCAAAAATGGGCATCTGTACCCTGAAAGTCAACATGAAACAGCGTGCAAGAAGATTTATAAATAATTCATAGGGAACTTCTTGTATCTTTGTTCCTGTCACATCTTTTCCTTCAAATTCATTAGACTCAGTTCAAACAAATCACATCAAGGGGACAAAAATGCTTTCTTAAGAGATTCACATTTTTTCACTGCCCTCATACTGCACTTTTTAAGTGGAAAGGAGAGGAAGAGAGTAAAAACAAACATAATCAGTGAAAAGGATGTGGCGGCACTTGACCTCTGTAATGCTGGTAGAATCTGCAATTATATCTGGTGTGGAGTCATATCTGTGGTGTATAAAATACTTTATAATGGTCAAGTGGGAAAGGCCCAGATCTTAATAAGAGTGGTCCTCACCTCCGTGGGCACACAGGAAGTCATGGTTGGAGATGGGTCCTGGCTCAGCGAAGGTTTTGAACTTGTTCAGCCACTGGCGAGAAATGTAGAACTGCAGGAGGCTTGGCTCCATCATGTTGAGCAGACTGGACACCTTCCGCCTCTCCTTCTGAGTCTCGTCGTTACTCTTCCTGTTACACACACACACACACACACACACACATACATACACACACACAAATGACATCAGCGCCATTTAGCAACTGTCAACTCACATGCTTCACCACAGCACTGAGATTTACAGTCAGACTCGAGGCCGTTTGCCATGCTCAACATAACCTTGAGCTTTTCTGCCTAAAAGAACAGATGCATCTTAAAT